GAATCTAGGTATGCAAAAACCCCAAGGGCCTGATAACGAGCAACAAAACGAGGAAAATAGTGGGTATGCAAAAACCCAGGCCCCATGGCAGTCCCTTCTTTTCATTTTTCCAGTGTGCGGATTAAGATTAAGAGTTACTGCAGCCGGACTCCTGCCCCAATCTCAGTTCCTCAGCATCAGGTTGAATCAGGTCAGCCCAGTGCGTGATCTGCGCAAGTGCTTTCGGAGCTGCCTGGTTTGCCTTTGGATTCTCCAGGTTCGTTTGGTTCAGGGGGCTTCTTGGGGAGCGGTAGCCTGGAAAAATCTGAAGACGCTCCACCAGCATCACAATAACCACGGCCAAAATTCGTAGGACGACGCTCCACGCACCAGCGCCAAAACACGCTGGGCCCACTGAACAGGGTTGTCGATCCGACCAAAACGCTGAGCATCCCTGCAGCGGCGAACCGTGGAATGTCCACGCAGTATTCCAGCAGTTGTCAATCGCAGAATGTAGATCTTGCAGTGCCGAGCAGTAGAATATCCCTGCATTGGCCAGCCGCAGACCCCACCTGCAATGCTCAACCGCAGAGTGTGTCCCGGCAATGCCCATTGCCCATCCCCAAAATATTTTTCGCAGCTGCTCAACCCCAGAGTTTCCCGATGATGCCCGCAAACCACAAATAGGTGAGGGTGGGGATGTTTGAGCAGATGCTTTTCTATTCGGGTGGCTCTGTCAAGGAGCTAAGCTAGACAAGCCTCTCTGTCTTCATGGCACAAAAGTTTATGCCTGAGGACAACGTTATTATGAGCTTCATGACCTCCACTGTTGGACAACCGATATGGTCACCACAAGGTGAACTCCCCCAAGCGACAACAATGCGCATAAATCCGCTCAATTTGCTTTCGCTCGCACGCCTAGCTGCCGAGAACGGATGTGAGGTTCTTGGCAAAGTGTGAATTCAATTCAGTGTTTTCGTTTCGGTGGCTGCTCATGTGATCTAGCTTTGTCTAGAATCTCCTGATCCTCGGATCACATCCATGCAATCTTGCAATCGTGCGGCACTCCGTCCAATCAAAGACAGCTGCTAGTGCTGGATGTTATGATGTGGAATGAACTCGGCCAAGGACAGAAATGCTGGGCCAGGCTCAGACACAACAACTGCTGTGTGCCTATTTCACCGAGACTGTCATGGAGCATGGCTCTTCTACAGCCTGCCTTCTTCCTCTCTATCATGTCGCTGCTAGATGCAATTCCTTTTGAAAGGGTCAACCCGAACATGACGTGGTGGCTGTTTCCTGGAAGAGGTCACTATGCACATGGCTGCGAACTTGGACAAGCCAGCCTTCCAAGCATACTGTGCTTGGAGAGCTTTTTCTGAGGCTCTATTGCACAGCTTGGTATGTTGTGGCAGCTGCTCTGGCACCTAAGCAACAGGCACTGCGTGAGATGGAGGCTGAGCGCTCGACAAAGTTTCGACGTGTGTGATGGGCTGAGCATCAGACCGTGACACTTCGGTCTGCCAACATTAAGGGACCTTGAGGTTGTCTGGAGACTCTGGTGGTACTCTAGGTGAAAGTAAGTGAAACTTCAAGTCCTGCCAGCTCCGCACATGCCTCCCAGTCGTACCTGCTTCTGGTAACTATCTTCAAAACCAAAAACCTCAATCATTTGCACTCATACTTCTGTGGTGTACTGATCCCTGGAGCAAGTGAACTCAGATTTGGAGAGAAAGTGCTGGCTGGTCGGTCCGTACCCTAGGATCAGAGTTTTGACTGTTGATGCTTTCCACTGTGGGATTTCATGCTCTGGGGGCACTAGCACAAGGCTGCGGACCTTTCCACCCAAGCTGACCATCAAGGCGTCACCAGAGCAGGTCGGATTTGCAGCTTTTTTGGGAACTTGAACGTGTTGCTTCAGCAGGTTGTGTAGTGATTTGTGCAGGCTGCGATGCTTGTCAAGCAGATTCAGGCAGGGTGCGTGCAGTGTGCTATCAAGCACTACCGTGGAATGATGCAACATGTGGACAACCTGTACAGAATCGTCTGCCAGGCTGCGCTGATGGCATTGACCGATGCTGGCCTCTGCTCGAAAGCAACGTTGCAGCTGGACGAGGCTTCATCACTTCTATAGCATGAACAACACACTGCCATATCAGTATCAGAACCTGTGAGTTCCTGGAGCACCGTTCTGTATTCAATGAGGCGCGCTGCCACATGTAATGCACACGTACAAGCAGCGCTTGCGCCTGTGGCGTTGCATAGAGTTGGTGCCCGTGAGAGGCAGGAAGTCTGGGCTAACAAATCTCGATTCCAAAATCGAATTCTAAATCAGTCGCCCACCCGTATTACCTGCACAGCTGCCCCGCAGAGCTTCCGGGGCATTCAAGGGTTTCTCTGCTGGCGGCATCACCTGCAGCGTTTACCAACTTAGCAGCTTTATGGACGGAGTTGCTGGATGGTTTGGCCTTTGCACGTGACAAGATGCGCTTCAACCGGACTAGGGCTGCCAGGCGCAAAAGTACGAGCCATTCTCAAGCTATTTTTTTGAGAAATTCCGTCAAGCATGTGGCGCATATGGGCTGCCGAGCTAGCGTCATCTGAGGCAGCTTCTAAACTCGCATGATGGCAAGCAAGTCAAAGTTGGACATGGCATACAAAAAAGGCTGCAAACGGATGGGGAAACCTGAAAAGCGACACCCTGCAATCAAAAAGTCATTACAGTGATCTTGCAACTTAGCCGACATGTAAAGCCACACCATAATTTCTATTTGCAACATCTATGGCGACGAAACCCCGTAAAGCGACACCCCTCACAAGGCGTCCATTACCTTGGACAAGGCGTTCATACGGACGCTCAGTTGATCAATCTGAAATGTTATCAGTCTTAGAGTCTTGCCTCATCTCGTAAGCACGAACCTAGCGCAAACCACTGTGGCCCCGCATCCCCACTCCTGATGATTGGGACTCCTCACTGAAAGCGAGCACAGCAAACAATAGAAGCAATGACGTTGTGGCGTGCGCATCTGAGTCTGTACTCATGACTCAAGCCAGCGGTGCAGGTGGGGTGCTTGTGCTCCTGCCAGCCTTTCTGCATAGTTATTGTGCCCAAATAGATCATATCAAGGCCAGTTTGAAGCACGTTTTGATTCGGCCGCGCCTAAGAGCCGGGCCGTGGGGCGCGCCATGTGTGGCTTTACTTGTGGGGCTGAGGTGCTTCGACCAACCCCATTGTGTTTCAGTCGCTCCTGCACATGAAAGGTCCTCCAACACATGTTTTTCACAAAAACCATAGTGATTCCAACCAAAACAATTCTCCAGAAGAAAACTATGCGTGATGCTGGCGGTACTGTTTTGGGAAAGGGCAAACTACATCTGATGGTCGTCAGGGACAAGTGGACCGTACACGCCAACTTCTCGCATGTCTGGAAGACAGGTCAGGTGCAGCTTCTTGTTGTTGCTGGCTTTCATCATTGCTTTGGGGTCATGGTAGGTACCTTGCGGTATTTTCCAGTGGGAGGCGAAGGGTTTTTTGTTGCGAGAGTTCGCCGCGTTGAGGTCAGCCATGGAGAACACTCTTTATTAAGTCCCTCTTGGAACACGATGATCTCTATGCCATGGAAACTCGCTGAGTCTGCAGTGAAGAATACAACGCTCCGTCGGTCTGTAAATGCGCGCCGTCAACAGGCACTAAACCATGCGGTTGCTGAGAACCCTGCCAGGCGTGGGTGACGCAGCACTGCAGCAAAGTCAACGTTGTTTTCTTCGGAGGGTGCCGAACCTGTGGTTTTCTTCCCGAAAACGCGTTTT